TTATCGGATCTAAATTCTACATGGAGTGGGAGGTGTTTAGAGTCTTGGTGCTTGCCGTTTTATCTTTACCATTGAAGTTCTTGGTTTTGTCTCTTCCTAAATGAGTCATTTTTTTTTTAAAAAGGAACCTAACTTGGGGGGGCGAGGAAACCACTGAGGGAGGTGCTGAGTGTGGGGGCGCTGAGGAGCCAACCATCGGGAGACCGAGTTTACAGCTGGGCCCTCCACTCAGGAAGGATGGAAGGGACCCGTCCTTGCTGAGGGTGAATCACAGACAAGTAGGACATAGCCTGGTTGGAGAGGCACAATAGGAAGGTATTGATGTTGTTTATGAAGCTACCGAGTATTTACTGGAGCTCCGCCATCAAACATACTGCCTGGACGCAGGGTGCAATCCATGGGCAGAAGTGGATTGTGGACACTTGGGAGATTGTGGACAGAGGGGAAGGAGATTCCTAGTCTGTCCTCTGCTTGAGGGGACACAGTTTGTGTCCACAGTTGCCTGCACTTTCAGATAAATGAACTGACGTTACCAAGCCCCATGCTGGTGTGAACAATGCAAGTCAAAATGTTAGGGCCAGGCAAGATGTCAAAGGGGCAGGAGGTGGCCGCTGAGGCCCCCACGGTGGAATGCTGAAGGCGGCCCCGATGACACAGACGCTGTGGCCGGGCAGCCGGAGGGAGATCAGATGGAGGACGGGAGCTCTGCGGGACCGCTGCATGTCACTTCCCCTTTCTGTGCTGAGATCTCCTAGCTGAAAAATGGTCCCCTACCACACACACACACCTCAGTCACCAGGCCCCTGCTAGCTGTTGGGAGTGCTTGATGTCCTAGATGCCTGAGTGGGTAGGGGCGGGAGAGAGAGCAGGACAGGGTGAGCAGAGCCTGGCTTTGGAAACCAGAGCAGCTCCACACGGTTTGGCCCAAATCCCTCCCATGCTTTGGGTGAGGAGAAGCCCAGGGTAAGAGTGCCTCCCAACAGCCGGGAAGATCTTGGTGCCTTGGGAGCTTGGGCTGGGCAGGCTCCTTCTCCTCCACATAGAGCCCCCTGCAGGGCCGGATTTCATCTTCTCTCAGTGGTGTCTGGCCTCCTGCCACTGTGCATGCGTGTTTTCTAAGTTTGTCACAAACTTCCTGTTTAGGTACGATCAGAGGCTCGGAGCTCTGTGTGTTTTGAAACCTGGGCATTCACCGAGGTCCGGCGCTTCTCTCTTACCAGCAGTGGGGTGGCCTGTTTGTTCCTTTGCAGACATCTGTCGTCCTTCTTTGCAACCCTTCTTGCTGGGAAATGCTCTGTAGCCCTGTGCTTGTTTCTGTTAGTAAGGGTAGAGAGAGCTGTGAGGTCTGAAGGCTGGACAGGGGGAGGGGAGCAGCACTGAGTGGGCCCCTTATGTAAGGCCAGGCACTGTGCTACATGTGATGCTTCTATACACTTGTTTTATTTAGGCCTCCCACTCACTCATGCAGAGCCAGAACTCCCAAGAGGTGAAGGCTGACCTGGCTGATGAGCTCAGGATTTGGTCCCAGGCCTGACTCCAGTGCTCCTGTGACTTCAGCTAGGTCCTGAGGAGCATGCCTCCCCTTTGGTTGCCCCTGGTTTGGGTAGATCCTGATTTCTTTTGGGGCGTCTTGGTGACAGCGTTCCCTTGAAACCCATGGTTTTCTCTCAGCCCCTTGTTACCCAGGTCTGCCCGTCGTCTGCCTGGGGTAACTGGATGGCCCTTGAGTGCTCTGCTGATTTTCACGTTTCCCATCCTCTTGTGGCTCTGGGAATCCCAGAATTGTTAGATGGTGGTCTGTAGCTGGTGATCGAAGTGGATCAGTCCAGCTCCTCATTTCTCAGAAATAGAATATTCTTTTTCCTGCTTCTGGGCGCTGAGCCCCGACTGCTTTGCTAGCCACCAGTGGCTTCTCCACACAGCTGGATTCCTTACATTTCAAGCTCTCCCTTGAAGAAGGAAGAAGAGAGTATATCTATCTATGTCTGCAAAAGCATGTGAAAGGGTGGCAAAGGAAGGACACCAAGACCTTGAATATGCAGGTGCAGGAAGAGGAGGGAGGAGCCAAATCCAGCCACCCTCCTCCCTGTTAGAGTAGCTGTTAGAAGGTGCTGGACTCTGGTGCCTCCTCTATAGGAAGAACAGGTATGCCTCCTAACTTCAAGAGGGCCCTGCGTCCCTTCACTTGCCCATCTTGGTTCGCCTGTATTTTCTGAAAAACCTCTGGAATCTTATCACCTGAGCATCAGGATTGTTCTCTGGATCAAATAACTGAGACACTGTGTCGAGCAGTGGGCAACTATAAGCATTTTCAACCCTATTCCTGCCCTCAAGAGGCTTGCATTCCCCTTGGGCACAGGGAACTCTTGCCTAGAGAAGCTAAATGCAGTGAGTTCAGAAGAGCCAGGAGAGTTCAGTGAGCTGGTTTGGTGCCAGCCAGCAGACTGCAGACCCAGAGACCCAACACCCAGCACCCAGCAGATCCAGAGAGCTGGACCAGAGGGCTGGAGCTGGGTGACCAGAGGGCAGAGCTGCAGGGGAGGAATGTGCTGGGTGTTGGGACCAGGGTGAGGTGCATGGACTGGGCAGGGGATTAGAGATGGGGTGAGCAGAGGTCCGCATGGGAAACAGGATCGAAGAAGGACATAAGCACCATTTAGGAAGGATCCCAAGGGATGGCTGTGGAGTTTGGAAGGTTCCTGTATTGAGGAATCTCCAAAGCCAAAGTTCGGGCCGGGATTGGTAAATGCAATGCTGTAAGAAGGTCCGTCTGGATTTATGAACTGTGAATGGGTAGTGCTGGTAAGTTAGGAGACATTTATCATGTCAGGGGTTAGGAATGAAATGTTGAGGACTTGGACTAGGGTGGCGGTAGTGTATGTAGAAAAGACGAGACAGAAGCGGAAGGTTTCAAATCTCAGCTCTGCCACTTGCCACCTGTGTGACCTTGATCACATTACTTCATCTCTTTCAACCTGTTTTGTCGTCTATAGATAGAGGCTAAAAACGCTTCACAGGACTCTTGTTAACTTGTAGCACACCCAGCACTTTGTAGGTGCTCGAGGAATAATGCATCTTCTCATGCGGTGAGAGGCATCGTTCTGTGACCGGGAGGTATGAGGGGAGTGGAGAATGAGGATCTGAATCTCGGAGCCTGGGAGAACGACGAAGCCTTCACGGAAAGGGATGGAACTGCTTGGGGTGTTTGAGTTCAGCTTTAAGAGCTTCTCCTCCTAAACCCTGGCTACTGAGGGCTGTCACAGACAACCCCACATCCATGTAGATTGCACCTCTATGAAACCACGGCCTCTGGCTGGAGCGGGGCCCTCTGGGATGCTGGCCAGCAGGTGGCTGCCTCCAGTCAGGGTGGGGACTAGGGTGAGGGAGTGAGCCACCTAGGGCACCAGCATCGGGAGGTGCTGGGCTTCAGGGCCACCCCGCATTTGATACCCACAGTGGGACACACACCCCAGCCTCCTCTCCTATCTGCCCTTCTCCACTCAGGAGACAACCTGGCTTCTCTATTCACAGTTCGTGTCACTCCGTGGCAAGCCCACTCACATTCCCTCCTGTGTGCTGACCTGCACTGGGCTCATTCCCACCAGGTTTCCTTGTACAGAGAAAGAGACATCGTTCCTCCTGACCAGAGAGAACCCTCTCCCTGTACAGGGGTCCCCCTGCCTCCTGCAGCCCCTGGGACCTCACCCCTCAGTCCTGCAGCAGCAATTTCCTCAGGCCTTCACCCCGCTCCACCTCACCACCTCTTTTCTCCTCTCCTCACAGATGGAGGTGTGGATATAATCTGCCCTCGCTGACACAGCCCACGCAGTCTGGCCTCCACCTGTGGGGGCTTGTGCCTGGTCCAGGGCAGGGACTGGTGAGGTTGCTGCAGAGGCCTCCCGTCTTCTGCAGGGGCTGCCCTCTCTAAGGTCACCTGCAGCCACCATGTTGCCACACGCAACGGACACTTGAGTTCTTATCTGTCTGGGCTATTTGCTGCTGTTGACACTGTGAACAGCTTCCTCCTTCTTGCAACTCTCTTTTCTCTTATGTTTGATTCCATCCTACAGAGTCTCTCAACAGCTATTTCTTGAGCACCTACGATGTGCCAGGCTCCGGGCATACCATAATATGATGTTCCTGCTCTCAGGGAGTTTACAGTCTAAGGGAAGTGGGGAAAAAGGGATGGAAAAAAATAAATAAATATCAGGTAGTGATAAGGGTTGTCAAGAGAAATACACAGTAGGTCAGGCAGCTAGGAAGGGGGCCGTGGTTGGACGTGGGTCTCACTGCAAAGGACGTGAGAGCAGAAAGCTGTAGGAAGTGCCAGCTGCCTGGGGGAAGAGTGCTCCAGGGATGGGGAAGAGCAAGTGTGGAGGGCTGAGGCAGGAGCCTGCTTGAAGAAGCCGTTGTGGCTGGAGGAAATTGAGGAAGGGTAGAATAGGAGAAGAAAAGGTCAGGTGCCTCAGTCCATCAGGGAAGAGACGCAGCCAAGTCCTGCGGACTGTGTCCATTTCTTTCTTTCTTTCTTTTTTTTTTTTTTTTTGAGATGGAGTTTCAGGCTGGAGTGCAGTCGTGCCATCTCCTCTCACTGCAACCTCCACCTCCCAAGTTCAAGCGATTCTCCTGCCTCAGCCTCCCAAGTAGCTGGGATTGCAGGTACCCACCACCATGCCCAGCTAATTTTTTATATTTTTAGTAGAGACAGAGAGGGTTTCACTATGTTGGCCTGGCTTGAGATCCACCTCCTCAGCCTCCCAAAGTGCTGGGATTACACATGTGAGCCACCACGCCTGGCCAACCATGGCCATTTCAAGGATTTTGGCTTTTATTTTGATCAGCAGCCTTTGCTGGGTCCTCCTCCTGGGTGGGCCCATCAGCCACTGGGATCTTCGGGGCTCCATCCTGGGTCACTGCTCTGGCCTCTCCCTGATTGATACTCACTGTTCCCCATGCTGAAGCCAGATATCCTGACTGTGCTCTTTGGGTCACCCCTGCAGGCCCTGGCTGTGGAGGATGCTGAAGGAAGAAGACGCAGAAGCAGGACAACCCTGAAAGACTGAGCCTCTTCATCCTCAAGCAGGTAGCTTCTTGGGAATTCTTGATGTTGGAACATTTTACACAAAGCAATCATAAGATAATTTTTGGACCCATGTGGTGTGGAGAATGCCCCAGGAAGCAGAGAAGGGTGGCTCTGGTCCTGGAAATCCATAGATTTCTAGAAAATTTTCTCTGGGAAGTGGTCAGGGATTGTGGATTCACATATTAGTTTTTGGCAGCTTCTGGAATGGGGGAGAGAGTGTCTTGTCTCTCTTGATTTCACAGAGTTGTAAATAGTTGAGGATCCAATGGACGTCCACGAATGGTAGCTTTAGAAGTGTTTAGAAGGAATTAAAAATGTCTGGGATGCATCTCTGGAGAGTCGTGGTATAGAAGGCCACTGTGGGAAGCTCCACAGAGCCTGCCAGAGGCAGGTTCCTGGACTCAGGAGTCTTAGCTGGCCCTGGAGCATTCTTCACGTTTATATCAGCTCTGACCTCATGATCTCGTCCATTTTCAGTTTGTCCCTCCATAAAATGGGCACAGAGCTATGATTCCTCTGCTGGGCCCCCCACAAGCTGCTTCAAGGGTCAATAGTTTGTGCAACAATAGACTTCTAAGCTTTTATTTCAGGTGTAAACCCTGATCCGGCAGGAGATGGCTCCGTCCTCCACACGTTCTCTGCAACAGTGGGGAAGGCGGGTGGTGGTATCTGATTTGATTGTTTCGGTGTGTGTGGTTTTGTTTTCTTGGCATGTGCCACACTTTCCATTCCTCTTATGTGAGGCTTAGAATTGATTGCTTCGGTTTCTTTTTTATTGTGCCTGATTCTGATTTAATTTTAAAGCCATCATCTCTCTGGGTTCCAGGCGGAAACACGTGGCTCGTGCAAAGGGGGTAATTGAAGGGCCTCTACTGAAGGGACTACTTATAAGGATGCAGGCAGAGTTCAGAGAAACCAACAAGGGATGCCGAAGCACCCAGGGCCAGCAGTGTCAGGGAGCTGTTACTGTGCCTAGGCCCAGAAGGAAGACAGAGGGACTTGGCTGTCAGGATGGGAAACAGTAGCTGGGGAGGTGTCTCTGGTAGAGGAATGCAATCAACCTACAGCAGCTTGGCCAGGAAAGAGCCAAGAGAAGAAATATCCTCGTTGAACCCCTCAGATCTCCCATCTCCTGATGCTGGTGACTCCCATTAGGCAACCTCAGTCAGAGCCAGAGGCAAGGGAGCTGGGTGGATGCTGTCCACAGAGGGTAGAGCTGCGTGGAAGATGGAGGGTGGATCTGTGGAGCGAATGGGAATGATCTCACAGAGTCAAGGGTTGAAGGGCACTTGGATTTTAAGGATGTTTCTACTTTCGACCGAAAGAGCCTTTTGTGTATGTTTAAGTGAAACTTTGCATTGTGAGGTCAGCTACGTAGATGTGCCGGCTGTGAGGGATGGTAGGGGCAGCAGAGATTCCAGTCCTTTTCAGACTTGAAAAGACCCAGGGAAGTCAGGGGACTTGCCCAAGGCCACTCATTAATTCATGAAAGTGTTTCTTGAAAGCCTGTTACAATTTCTCGGGAAAAATAACACAAAGCATTTGAAACAGTTAAAAAAAAATGCATAAAGCAAAACCTGAGGAAGTGCCAGAAAGAGGCTGTGGATTCACATATGATAATGCCATAGATGAGGAGGCTTATAACCACCACCAACATGTATTTCTCACAGTTCTGGAGGCCAGAAGTCTGAGATGAGGCTGTCAGCATGGTCAGGTTCTGGTGAGGGCCTCTTTCATGTTGCAGACTGACAACTTCTCGTGTCCTTACGTCGTGGAAGGGACGAGAGTCTCTCTCAGGCCTCCTGAATAAAGGCACTAATCCTGTTCATGAGGACTTCACCCTCAAGAACTGATCACCTCCCAAAGGTTCCATCCCTAATACTATCACTTTGGGGATTAGGATTCCAACACATGAATTTGAGAGGGACATAAACATTCAGGCCATAGAAGCTCTTGTTTCTCATTTATCAGTTTGGATTCTTTGAGACTGACTACCAAAATCCTAAATCCGAATTCTAGAAAACCTAACTCAGGGCTCCCATGGCACAAGGAATTGATTAAACAGCTCATGTACCTGCAGTGTGCAGGGATATGGTGGACTGCAGGGTGGGTGTGAACCAGCAGCTCAACCATCCAGTTGATTTTGTGGGTTTTTTTTAAATCTCTCCACTTACTCCTCCCTGGGTCAGTTGATCCTCAGGCTGGCTTCTGCACCAGACTGGCTTCTGCACCAGGCTGTAGGGAGGCTGGGGATGTGTAGAGTTTTGCACAGTGTCGGGGAGGAGAGACATATACCTTGGGAGCCCCAGCTGACATCCACCGTACTGTACTACCCATAGAGGTAGAATCATACCTAATTTGGACCAGTCATTGGGGGTAAGAGTGAGAGGAAACTCAGTCTTAACACGTAAAAGTTTGAATCTTAAGGTGTTTTAGTGTGGTGTGGTATCAGGCAGAATCTTCCCAAACATATCCTGTTGGAAGCAGTTGGCATCTGTTTTTAGTATGTCTTAAAATGTAGGACCTTCTAGTAGGTTAAGTATACCTTCTGAAATCCCATTTAATTTCTAATTTGCTTATTCAACCTTTTAATAGCCAGAGTAAACACTGAACTCAAATTCTGGGTTGGTGAAGATTAAATTACAGTAATGAGGTTCCTCATTTATAACCTCATCTATAAAATGGAAATAAGAATAGCACCTACTTTATAGGTTTGCTGTAAGGATTAACTGAGGTGATCCAAGTTGAGTACTTAGCCCAGTGGCTAGCCCCATAAATGTTACCTTTATTAGTGTCCTATATCTCCAAATATTGTCACCTTTTATGTTTTTATGTGCATGTTTAATCTAGGAAATTAACTCTCCTCGCAATAAATATATTATCTGCTGCTGATTAGTTTAGTTAGAGAGGAGGTAAATAAATGTATTAAAATATTTAGTGTTTATGGGTTCTTTTTTTACTGAAGTGTTTTTGTGTATGTGTGTGTGTTTTATAATTCATTTTGAGGAAAGCCTAAATAGAGAAAAGTTTAAGGAGCATACAATTAAATTAAAAATAGGTATAACCTCTGGAAAAATAGAAAGTTTAAAATTTTATGGCAATACGTTCTTATATTCTTAGTTGAAAAATTGATGGCCTGTTATGACCTATCCCAGCTGATTTTTTTTTTTTTTTTTTGAGATGGAGTCTCACTTTGTCATCCAGGCTGGAGTGCAGTGGTACGATCTCAGCTCACTGCAACCTCCGCCTCCAGATTCAAGCAATTCTCCTGCCTCAGCCTCCCGAGTAGCTGGGACTACAGGTGTGCGCCGCCACATGCAGCTAACTTTTGTATTTTTAGTAGAGATGGAGTTTCACCATGTTGGCCAGGATGGTCTCGATCTCTTGACCTTGTGATCTGCCTGCCTTGGCTTCCCAAAGTGCTGGGATTACAGGTGTGAGCCACCGCACCCAGCTATTTTTTCCCTTATTTTCAGTTTGAGGCTCTGGAGGGATGAGTGACCCTCTTTGCCTTTGGTTTTCTGAACCAACTGCACAGTGAGACTGTCCTGGGTGGGTGGATGGGTTTTAGGGTCACCTGGATTGAGTGAGATGCAGCAATACTGAGAAGCTCGTCTTGCACATTCACTTCAGCAGCATTTCAGCTGACAGTATGGTGAATCATTCCCTAAAGCCTCTGGTGCCATAGGGCTGACCTCTCAGAACCCCAGGAGGGTCAAGCGTCTTGATTTGGGGTTCCCAGATTAACGATGGGGGAGAGCACAGGTTGGCACAGGGGCTCCAAAAGCTTTACCACCCTTTTCAGAACCAGGATGAGGAGGAGGCTGTAGGGTGCAGCAGGAGAACAGTGTCCAGAGTGACCAGGAGCTTTGAAGACGGCATTCTTCATCCCCACTCCCGAGTGTTGACTAAAGTTAGACTTTTGTTTTCTGTAGGTGGTTAGTTGCACTTGGGGCTTGCCACCATTTTGATACCCAGATGAGCACTGATTGTCTCTAAATTCCTTGGCTCGAGAGTATGTAAACTAGGGGTTCTCAAATGAAGATTGCCTGGACCAAGAAAGCACTAAGAGAGAGAGAGAGAGAGGAAAAAAAAAAAAAAAAAAAAAAAAAAAAAGCTTTAAGGCATTGGCCTAGGGCTCCCAGTCTTTTTTATCTTGCCAAGTTAGGACATTTAAAAAACTCTCACACCCATCACCAAGCTTTTATGAAAAACACCATCTTAATGCCAAAGTATTAGGAAAAGATAATCTAAGAACAACAGCAACAAAAGTCTTTAAATTGAAAACACTCAGCTTTAGGAATCATTTACTACATTGTTCTCATTTTTCTGACATCACCTGTGAAAACTACACCAGCGGAGGATGGGCACTGGCCTGCATTTGCCCTCCGGGTGTCGGGAGCTCACCTAGTGATGTGGAGTTAGCTTCTGAATGTGTAACTGTAGGGAAATACACCCTACTTTTTGAAGCCTCACTTGGAGCCTAAGAGTTCTCTAGAGTCATGTCTTCATTGGATTTATAAGTTAAAGTTGGGGGAAAATCCATTTTAATACAAGTTTTGATAAATCCAGTTTAGTTTATAAAGAAGGAACCGTTTACCTTCCAGTCATTAACTTAGAATTGTTAGTTTAATTTTCCACCAGCAGGAAGAAAATCTTGCAATACCTAAATAGTTCGAATTAAAAAGTGTGTCGCCAGTTTTCCCTTTTCCACCATTTAACCCTAAAAGTGATCACTGTCTTCAATTTGATCTGGCTTTCGGTTGTATGGTATGCCTCTGTGGGTGGGAAAGAGTGTGTGCCACCCCCAACCCCACGCATATGCAGAAAACTTGGTTTGATCTCAGGAGCCCCTGAAAGGAATGGGGTGCTTGTGAGCAATGTTGCTGGTAAGTGCTGGTATTAATACTTGCAGCAGTCAGTTGCTGGTGTTAGTACTTGTAGTAAAAGTTGCATCTTAGAACTGCCAAAATAGTGTGACTTTTTAAGATGCCTTTTGG